GTTCTGCATACAGGTTGAAAAGGTATGGAGATAGGACACATCCCTGGCATACGCCTTTCCCAATTTTGAACCATGCAGTGTTTCCTTGCTCTGTTCTGACGACTCCCTCTTGGTCCAAGTATAGGTTTCGCATTAGCACGATCAAGTGTTCTGGGATTCCCATTCTTCTCAGAGTCAGCCACAGTTTGTTAACGCCGTAGGGAGTATTTCTTTCTGAAGAAGCTTTCAACAGTGCTTGGACGCTGGGCGTCAGTCCCCACTGAGGGAAGCTGAGTATAGTGTCTGGGCCACAGAGCTGGGACCAAGCCTGCGTTGCTTTGGGTATAAGTTTGCACCCACCTCCTCGTGCAGATGGTGCCTGGAAACCTCCCAAAAAGGGACCGCGTCGCTCCACCCCCATTTGTCCACAGGCACTGTTCTGATTGATCCAACAAAAGGCAAGCAGTTTGTTTGCTCTGAGAGCCACCAGCCCAGGGTCCAGATGGGCGCGCCCCGCCCTCCCGCGTCGCCGCAGTCCTCCCCGGGACCCCACAGCGCCCCCTGTCCCAGCCGCCCGCACTCAGAGCCTGCAGGACCCCGGGCGGTGGGCTGGTGATGGGACAGCCAAAGGCCAGGTGATGAATGCTCACAGAAGATGAAAAGACCCTCCTCTAAAAGTCCCAACTGCCAGTGGCAGCTCAGAGCAGCCTAACGATGAATTTTAAAAATACGCTTTCTGGTCTTCCTGCTCCCTTAATACTTTCCTGCCTCCCCTTCCTGAGCTTCTCAATTCAACTGAAATACTGTGATGGTTATTTTAAATCTACAAACGCTCTTTCACACCCTTGGCTGGGCTCAGGGTCTGAAGAAAGAACTTTGCCTTCAGGAGCTGGGTGTGTGGCAAGCAGTTCACTGTGGGGCCTCAGCTTTGTGATTGTAAATGGCGGTGTGGAGGCTCCCCCTCGCCTAGAGAGTATTGATCTATAGCAGGGAGTCTTGTCACTGTGGTGGCCGAAAGGGAAGCATTTGAAGTCAGATATCCAGGAGCAAGTTATTTAACCTCAGCACGTGTTCATTCTTGTTTTCATAATTTTATGGAGCTAATTTTGGGCAGTGTTAGACAGGGCTACAATCACTCCTTTAACTGTTACTGTTGGCAGCAGGCAACCAGAATCCAACTCTTGGTGACCCCATTCATGCCTGCATAGTAGAGATTTTCAAAAGTATTGCCTTACTTTGGGGAATACATTGTCATACCTCTTTTCTGAGGCTAATGTGGATGAATTCAAACAGTCAACCCTTCACCTGTTTGTGCTAGCATGGGACCTCCTTAACGACCCATCACTTATTTTCTTTTTAATATTTTTAAAAAAATTTATACTAGTTTCCATACAAATTTGTATACATTGTGTTTCACACAATCATTCCCTTATATTGCCACCACTCATTTTTAAACTTCATTGCCAATTTACATTAATGGTGATGTGCTCGACTGCAAGCTGCAAGGTTGACGTTTCCAGCACTCTAAAAGCATGGCAGAAGAAAGGTCAGGCAATCTGCTTCCAAAAGGGCTCACCTTTGAGAGCCCTTTGGATCAATTCTGCACTGCATACAAGGGGTTACCAGGAGTCAGAATTGACTCATAGGCACTAACAAGAACAACAAGAAGCAGATCTATATAACAGCTCTGTCAAGGGTCAAGGGAGGAACATGAAGTGTGTTATCATTTCACTTGCTGGTGAAGTCATTACATTTGATATATTAAATTTAGCAGTCATTTAAATCCAAGCATGAAGCATAGGGTGGTGGTTGTCAAGTTGAGAATGATTCATAGTGACCCCAAGAACAATGGATCTGAACCCTGTTCTATCCTTTGCCGTCCTCATACACTCGAGCCCATTGCTGCAGTCACTGTGTCAGCCCACCTGGTTGAGGATCTTTCTCTCCTTCGCCATCCCTCCGTCTTCCCAAGCATGATGTACTTCTCCAAGTAATAACTTCTAGCCACATGCCCAAAGTATGCCAGAGAAAGCTTCACCATCCTTGCCTCCAAGGGGCACTCTGACTGTACTTTCTCCAAGATGTACTGTTTGTTCTTTTGGCAGTTCATGGGATTTTCAGTATTATCTTACATTTCCCTTTCAAAAGTGGTGTTTTAATGTTTCTATTGTAGAAAATGTGAGAAATAGTGAAGAATGATCAATCCAACTCATTGCTGTGGAGTTGGAATGAACTCCATTGTGTTTCCAAGGCTGTAAATCGCAAGGGAGGAGACTGCCTGTCTCCCCAGGAGGGGCTGGTATTTGAATGCCAGAAAGGTGCCGCCTTTGGGTTAGTTGTGCACCTCCCTGTGGACTATGCCACCAGAGCTCTGTCAGCATTGCCCAAGATGCTGTTAACATGTTAGAGTTTTAAAAATTAGATTTACAGTGAATTTCACTTAATGTTTTCAGGTTATGAGCTACTGAACTTGGGGTTTTGCCAGTTTGAAAAGGATGACTACATTTGAGACCAGACGATCCCATCACAGTTTAATTAGACAAGAAAGGGTCTAAGAATATCTGAACTTTGTGTCAGCTGCCACACAGACCCAGAAAGCATTAATTTGCAGGAAGAGCTAAAGAAAAAGGAGGCAGAAAATTCCCCTAAGACATACAACATTTGTCAAAAGGACAAAGTACTGGCTTTTATGCAAACATTTATTTTAACACTGCCCTCATGCCACCAAAAGACACAACTGGGCTGACTGGCAGCATCATGATGGATGATGAAGAGATTGAGATTGTTGACAGCTTCAGTTTGCTTGGCTCTACAATCAACACTCTTGGTACCAGCAGCCAGGGAATTAAAAGAGAAATTGCATCGGTAAAGTCTGCTGTCCTAGACCTCTCCAAGGTACTGAGGAGCAATGATGTCAGTCTGGAGACTAAGGTCTGCCTGATACAGGCCATGGTCTTTGCAATTACGTGCTATGCATCAGAGAGTTGGACAATGACTAGGGATTGATAGAAGGAGAGTTGATGCCTTTGAGCTATGGTGCTGGAGAAGAGTTTTGAATATACATACCATGGACTGCTAGGAGAACAAACAGGTTTGTTCTGGAGAGGGCGAAGCCAGGCTGCTCCTTGGAGGCAAGGATTCTGAAGCTCTGTCTGACATACTTTGGACATGTTGTAAGGCGAGATCAGTCCTTGGAGAGCGACATCATGCTTGGGGGGATGCAGGGACAGTGCAGGAAAGGAAGACGCTTGATGAAATGGATTGATTAATTGCTGGAGTAATGGGGATAGGTGTGTCAGAGTCAGTAAGATTGGCAAGGGATCGAGCAGGGTTTATGTTGTACATAGGTTCGCTATGAGTCACAAGCGACTCGAAGGCACTTAACAACAACAACAATAACAATCCATTAAACTGCCCCGCCTATCCCAGAAGGTAGCTTATATCCCTAAATCCTATTTCGGCCACCCATGTGCTGTGTGATGTTGGGCTAGTTCCTAAGCTTCTCTGTCTTTCTAGCTCATCTGTAAAAATAATACCACTTTCATAAGGTCCTTGTTAAGATTAGCTGATTTAATATGTTAAGCTCTTGGAAGAGCCTGAAAGCTCTTAGAATGTATAAGCAGAATGGAAATGTTAAGAGTGAGAACTATTCTTTATAGAGGAAGATGCTGAGGCTCACCATCTCCATGGACATCTGAAGACTGAAGTCTAGCTCAGCTGAGAGGGCTGCATCTTCCTTCTCATGTGCCAGATTTGGGAATCTGATGTGCTTCCAAACAGGAAGTACGTGCCCCAGGAGACATAATAGGCTGAAACAGAGGACACGCAGAGGAGAGAAATCTGATTGTCTTTCACTCCTCAGCTCAGCCCCCCAGATGGCGTCCCATTCCCCTCCGGATTCGGTGTAACTCCTTATGTGGCCATTAGGATCTGCCCCTCCTGGACTGTCACCTCTATTCCCACCCCCCCTCCTGGAAACCCACCCTTACTCATGCCCAAATGCCCTGTACTTATACTCAGTGTTTTTTTCCTATGCTGTTCCTTCTGTCCAGGACACTCCTTATTTGCTCCTCAACTGGCTCAGTCCTAATCATCTTTTCTGGTGTTTATCTGCTTCCGAGTGGGCTTTTGCATCAGGGTGACCCCATATATGACAGAACTAAATGTTGTATGCTCCTGCACTCTCTTGATGATCATTGGTATGTTTCACTGCACTGCATCGATCTACGCTGTTGAAGGTTTCCCTCGCCTTCACTAGCCTCTACTTTACCAACATGATGTTCTTTTCCAGCAATCAGTTCCTCCCCATAACGTGGACAAGGTACGCAATAGTCAGACAATACACTATGATACAAAAACTTTTAGGAAGTTGAACATCATCATGCCTTTGTCTGTCTTCGTCTGGAAGTTCCTGCTCAACTCAAATACAACTAATTGCCCTTGAGTTAGAACTGATTTGTAGCTGACCCTCCAGTGGATTTTCAGAGGCTGTAAATAGCACAGGAAAAGAATGCCTACCTTTCTTCAGAGGAGCAGTTGGTGGATTCGAAGGACATGTCTTTGAGTTGGCAGTACAACTCTCTACCCACCAGGCCATCAGAGCTTCTGCTGGCGTCTGAAATATCAGTGGCATGACTTCCAACATCATAGCAACATGTAAGCCACTGCAGTGGGTCAAACTGACAGACAGATGGCACCGCACCATCCTTTAGTCCTTACCTCAATCAGATGGATTATGTTAATCCATCTGATTGACTCCAAAAAGCCTTCTCTTAGGTAACTGGACCTCAACAACAAATAGACAGAAACTTAATTAAAAAATGGACAAAGGTCTTAAACAGATAGACACACACCAGCAAGCACATGAAAAATGTTCATTGTTTTTAGTAATGAGGAAAATGCAAGCTAAGACCACAGTAAAAAGACTTTCACCCCCACTGTTAACATAGTCCATAGTGAATTGTACTGTCAAGCCAAAGACAGGGCTTCTCTGTTTGACTAAGTATGATGCCTTTTTATACTGTCTGGCCCCTTCTGATAATTTCTAAAGTATGTGAGGTGAATTCATCCTTGTTTCAAAGAAGTATTCTGGCTCCACTTTTTCTGAGACAGATTTGTTTGTTCTTTTGGCAATCCGTGGTATATTTGATACTATTCACCAACACCACAATTCAAAGGCATCAATTCTTCTTTGGTATTCCTTATTCACTGTCTTACTTTCATATGCACATGAGGTGACTGAAAATACTGTGGCCTAGGGCAGGCATACCTTAGTCCTCAAAGTGACATCCTTGCTCTACAGTACTTTAAAGAGGTCCTTTGCAGTAAAATTACCCAATACAGCTTTGATTTCTTTTTTTTAATTTTAATTTTAAATTTTTTTTTACATCTTTGATTTCTTGACAGCTGCTTCCATGGGTTAATTGTGGATTCAAGTGAAATGCAGTCTTTGACAACTTCAGTATTTTATCCATTTATCAGGATTATGTTTTTTGGTCCAGTAGTGAGGAGTTTTAATTTTTTTATGTTGGGGTGAACATACTGAAGTTTATAGTTTTTGAGCTTCATCAATAAGTGCTTTAAGTCTTTATTTACTGCAATCAAGGTGTCATTTGT